AGGGGGGTTGAGCCACCTTCCTCCTCCTTCCCCAGGGAGCCACCGGATTCCCCGGAGCTGCCGGACGCGTCGGACCCCCCGGCCCTAATGTGAGTTGGGAGCAGCCAGGATCCAACTGGGGGGCAACTGGGATCACTGGGGGGAAACTGGTTTCACTGGGGGGCAATTGGGATTGGTTGGGGCAACTGGGTTCACTCTGGAGGAAACAGGGATCACTTGGCAACAGGGATCACTTGGGAGCAGCTGGGATCACCTGGGGGCAACCAGGATCACTTGGGAGAAGCCAGGATCATTTTGGGGCAACTGGGATCACTGGGGGGGCAACTGGGATCATTCAGGGGCAACGGGGATCACTCAGGGACAACTGGGATCACTGGGGGGCAACTGGGATCACTGGGGGTGCGACTGGGATCACTCAGGGGCAACTGGGTTCGCTTGGGAGGAAACAGGGATCACTTGGCAACAGGGATCACTTGGGGCAATTGGGATCACTGGGGGGAAACAGGGATCATTTGGGAGCAGCCAGGATCACTGGGGACAACTGGGATCACTCAGGGGCAACTGGGATCACTGGGAGTGCGACTGGGATCACTCAGGGGCAACTGGGATTGCTCAGGAACAACTGGGATCAGTGGGGGCAACAGGGCCCACTGGGGGGAAACAGGGATCACTTGGGAGCAGCCAGGACCACTTAGGGGCAACCAGGATCGCTCAGGGGCAACTGGGACCACTGGGGCTTTCCCAGGGCTCTCCAAGCCCGGGAGCCCCACAGGACGAGGATAACGCAGGGGGAAAAGCCTCTTCTGTTGGCACTGAACCCCACCTTGTCCCCCCCAGGGTAACCCAGGCCCCCCCGGGCCCCCCGGCTCCGCTGGCAAGGACGGTCCCAAGGGCGCTCGAGGCGATGCTGGACCCCCGGGCCGTGCTGGGGACCCCGGGCTGCAGGGCGAGGACGGCCCCCCGGTACATTTGGGGGGGGCACCTCCCTTCCTGCCCATTCAGGGCCCTGCCACCACCCCCCTCCCGGCTCTGACCCCCCGGCTCTGCCTCCCCCCAGGGTCCCGACGGGCCCCCGGGTCCCCAAGGCTTGGCA